AGATTTGCCCTTATATTTTCTGCTGAGAGTTTTATAGTTTTAGCACTTACATGTAAGTCTATGAATCATTTTGAGTAAGTTTTTGCATATGATGTCAGATAGGAGTCCAATTTTGTACATTTGCATGTGGATATCCAGTTGTCCAACATGATTTGTTGAAGAGATGGGTCTTCTTTATTGAATAGTCTTGGCACCTGCTCTTGTCAAAAATCAATTGACTATAAATGTATAGGTTTAGTTCTGGACTCTCAATCCTATTCCATTGATCTATATGTTTTACCCTTATGCCGGTGCCACACCATTTTAATTGATGTAGCTTTATAGCAAGTTTGGAAATCGGGAAGTGTGAGTCCTCCAACCATGTTCTTCTTTTTCAAGACTGTTTTGGATACTTGGGATGCCTTGTAATACCATATGGATTTTTTTTTTTTTTTTGAGACAGATTCTCACTCTGTTGCCTGGGCTAGAGTGCCACGGCGTCAGCCTAGCTCACAGCAACCTCAAACTCCTGTGCTCAAGGGATCATCCTGCCTCAGCCTCCCCAGTAGCTGGGACTACAGGCACGTGCCACCACACCTGGCTAATTTTTTCTATTTTTAGTAGAGATGGGGTCTCGCTCTTGCTCAGGCTGGTCTTGAACTCCTGCGTTCAAGTTATCCTCCCGCCTCAGCCTCCCAGAGTGCTAGGATTACAGGAGTGAGCCACCGCGCCCAGCCCTATACCATATGGATTTTAAGAATGACTTTTCCATTTCTGCAAAACAGGCCACAGGGAGACAGGGCACGGTGGCTAATACAGGGAAGTAACAGGAATAAGAAAGGAAATGATAAGGTTCTTTGTTTATTTGTGTTTCTCGGAATGCCTTCTTTCTTGTTCAAAGAGAAAATGGCCTCCTGAGGCTGCCCCCCATTTACTCTGTCACAGATTTAACATTCTTATACTCCCTTTGGGTCTCACTGAACTTCCATGCATCGTGGGTCTGCTGGAATTTTGTACTCATGGGCATTGCAAACACCATGTACAAATAGAGTGACAAAGGATGGAGGGGGCCTATAGGTTGCATTTATTTACTCTGTTCATGTGCGTGCTCCATTGTTCCAGCAAACTTCACTTACAAAACACAAGTTCAAAGATAAAATTATTAAGAATATCAAGAAAATGACATCAGAGCATTAAATCAAGCCCTGTGTGGCTGCACATATTGAATTCTCATGAAGCCAGCCCTGAATACCAGGCAAGCTGGGACTTTTGTTCATCCTAGCAACACCCATCTGAGTGCATCACTTGGAACCACTTCCAATGTGTTCCTCCAGCACAGTCAAGCCTTCAGATGTCTGCAGCCCCAGCTGACATGTGACTGCAACCTCATCAGAGACCCCAAGCCAGAACCACTCAGGTAAATCACTTTAGAACTCCTGACCTGCAGAAACTATAAGATAATGAATGTTTTTCGTTTGCAGCTACTAAGTTGGGGGTAATTTTTTATGCAGTAACAGAGAACTTATACAGCAGCCATATTGTTTTTACACTGGAAAAGTCAGAGCAGGGGCCGGACGCGGTGGCTCACGCCTGTAATCCTACCACTCTGGGAGGCCGAGGCGGGCGGATTGTTTGAGCTCAGGAGTTCGAGACCAGCCTGAGCAGGAGCGAGACCCCGTGTCTACTAAAAATAGAAAGAAATTAGCCAAACAACTAAAAATAGAAAAAAAAATTAGCCAGGCATGGTGGCGCATGCCTGTAGTCCCAGCTACGCGGGAGGCTGAGGCAGGAGGATCACTTGAGCCCAGGAGTTGGAGGTTGCTGTGAGCTAGGCTGACACCACGGCACTCTAGCCCGGGCAATGGAGTGAGACTCTGTCTCGAAAAAAAAGAAAAAAGAAAAGTCAGAGCAAGCACAAGATGCTAATTTGCAGCTTACTCACATTGTCACTATCTGTTGGCTTATCTTGTGGGTACAGGGCAGCAACCAACTTTGCAGGTCCTTCAACTCCTGCTGGATCTTTTAGCTCCTCCAAATCCTAGGAAAGTCATGTTTAACTCTTCGATGAAGGATATCACCTTCTCATGCAGATTACCCCAGCATCAAAGTTGGAAGCTTGGAAGTATTATGAGACTGATGCAGGTTTTAGTCTTTAGAGTTCCAGCTTCCCATAGACTCTTTAAACAATTCTCACAATAGCATAAGGTCAAATCCTTATAATAAATCTGTTTTGTTCTGCCATGCCCATGGCTAGAGTCACCTCAAAAGCAGTGGCAGGGGAATTCCCATAAGGGAGTGCCCCAAACCGTCTACCCATGGGGCTGCTTGGGGTTCCAAAGAAGCACTAAACACCAGGGTGATCGGTCCAAAGCATTTATTTGGGGAACTTACGTACAGAGTGGGCTGCAGTGTATCCTTGGCAGACAGCAAGAGAAAGGGATATCCTACCTAGGTATGTCCACAGCCAGAGGTTTAGGATATAGAGTTTTTATGAGGGTTTAAGGAATTTGGCTCAGGGCCAGGCCTGGTTTCTTTCAGTACTTTGGACAACAAGCTTGATACCTTTATCAGTGCCTGGGAATGTTCAAGGCCCCAGTTTGGGTTCAACTCTGCTGGGAAAAACCCACAGCTGGCTGGGATCACAGAGCGGTCAAGGCATTCTCATTTTCAGTCAGGACATAAAAAGAATGTGGGGACGCTGGGGGACTCTACAAAGTCCCTTATTTTATATATTTCCTAGTGGCTTCGTTTTCTCATAAAACCTTAACTGATACATCAATTTTGCCAGTTCTTGCAAACTTTTTTTTTAAAAAAAAGTTAGTTTGTGAGAGTTATTTGTATGATAACAATCCTAATCTAATGTCTGTCATATATGCTGTGAATTTTATTACTTAATTTGTCATTAATCTTTTACTTTTTTAACAATGTTTTGTTATATGAAAGCTTTACAATTTTATGTCATAAATTTACCAACATTTTCATTTATGGCTCTGGGTTTTATGACATGCTTAAAATGGCTTTTCCACATCAAGATTATAAAAATATCCACTCATATTTAATATATGGTTTTATTTTTGTTCAGTCCTTGTTGATCCATCTAGAATTTATTTTTCATATATTGTGGCAAAGGGCTCTCATTTTGATGCATCCAAATAAATAGGCAATCATCCCAACATCATATTAAATAATCTCTTTTCCCCAACTGATGTGAAATGCTACCTTTATCGTCCATTAAAGTTTCATATACACAGTATTGTAAGGTGTAGTAGTAGATACTATGTGGTGAATACAATATCTTAGAATTCTTCAAGCCTAAGAGGGCACAACTACTGTGAGGATGAGTTTCAATATCAACACAGATGTTCATGTGTAGACAGAAAAAGATGTCTGTGTGCTTAACAGTCAAATAGAGCCTGGGGGAGGGTCAAATGCAGTAGATGATATCATAAGGCGGGGTGGAATTCTATTTGGAACTTCAGAAACCTAAGAGGAAGACTCTGGCCAGCTTCTTCTGAAGATACCTACACTCTGAAGACTGAGGCTTAATTCATTGGCTTCTTTGGATTCCTTGGTACTAAGCCAATTTTCAGGAAAGTGGCTTCCCACTGGACATGGCTCTCAAACAGTAAATGAGTTTATCAGTTGTCAATGTCTTAAGTAATAGAAAGCCCAAATTATAATGGCTCAAATAGAAGTTTATTTTTCTCAAACCAAGCAGTCCAGAGGTAAACAGATACAGGTGTCAGTTTAGTGGCTTGAAAATGTCTGAGCCAGAACATATGTCATTTTCTTGGCCTTTTCCTCATGGACATTGCCTCATGGTCACAAGATGGTTGCCTCAACTTCAGGTAATGTTCAAAGCAGCACAAAGGGAAAATGGTAGCACCATCTATTTTATCATGACAGCAAAAAGCCTTCCCAAAACCTACACATCAGACTTCTATTATGTTTGGGCCATGCGATGAACAATGTATCTGCCAAAATTCATCATTCATTCAAAATATAATTATTGAGTACCTGAATATCCTGTATGTGCTAGGTTACTGTTCAGCAGTGAACAAAACAGACAAAAATCTCTGTACTCATGTAGCATTATAATTAGGAGAGACATATAATAAAATAAAATGAACAAGTAAAATGTATTATGCTAGATTCTGATAAGGTTTTTGGACAAAAATCAAGCAGGTAAGGCAATTAGGAAGTTTGTGGGAGAATGGTACAATTTTAATAAAGGGATCTCAGGAAAATCTGCATTGAGAAGGTGATATTTGAGCATCTGAAGAAGATGAGGGAATAAATCCTGAGACTGTCGAAGGGAAAAGCATTCCTTGGAGAGGGGATAGCAAGTGATAAAATCCCCAGGGTAGGAACATGTCTAGCTTTTTCAAGAGGAAACAAGGCTGAGTCAGAATAATCAACAGGAAGCTAATAGGCTGTGAGGCCAGAGAAGTAACTAGGACATAATCTGACCTACAATTTAACAAGATCTCTTTGGTGGCTGGCTCAGTGCGGAAGAGTCTGATGGAGTCAGAGATGATGGTGGGTAGCAGGGGAGGTGGTGTGAAGTGGCAGGATTCTGGATACAATTTGTAGATTTTTCTGATGGATAAAGCTGTAGAAGAGAAAAAGAAGAGTCAAAGATGATGCCACAAGTTTTGGCCTCAACAGTTGAAAGAGTTTCTACTAATTGAGTTGGGTAAGACTGAAAAGGGATCAAGTGTAGGAGGTAACGTCAGGTATTAATATCTGAACTGATAGAGCATGGTAAGGTTTTATTTTATTTTGTTTTTTGGAGGAGGACATACATTTTGTTTTGGAAACTGGCCATGTTCAGGATTCACCTGTGTAAGTCAGTGAATTCTCCTTGTGTTCATAACAGGTGGGAAGGTTTTTGCAATAACAACTAAACCACCACTTTCTAACTTTTCAGACAAAGCTGCCATGGGAAAGAGCTAGGGACAAAGAAATCTCCCCTTGACAGAGTGATCTAGGAGCATCAGCCGCAGCTGAAGGTGGAATCCATGGAACCCCAGAAGCTGCTGAGCCTTGGATTTCTGCTGTGCTCTCTGACTTGCCTCTTGTTGGAGGTGGTAGCCTCCTCTCCTTCACGTTTATCTGCTTTGAGTATACAAGAGAAAGCAGGATCGAAGCCACACTCAAGGGGTGTGTTTGCTGTTAGGATGAATGTTCCTACCTTCGTAAGACATAAGATTCCTGTCTCAGGTCAGGAAAAACTGATTTCATGTTTAAAAATAATGTTCACAGGAAAGCAGACTCTTCTGGTTTGGTTCAACTTAGTTTAACAAGCATTAACCTACCCACTGTGTGCCAAGCCCTTCGCTGGACTACACGGATTAGGAGTTGAACAGCCCCTGTTATCAAGGAGCTCATAGATGGGCAGACAAAACCATAGCAGGCAACCTTCTAGGGAGTATGATCGATGTTCCCAGAGGACAAGGAAATAATTAAAATTGTTTTGGGGGAGGGGTCAGAAAAGACTTGACAAAAGAGGTGAAATTTGAAATGAACCTGATGGTCCACGGATCCACAGCTTAGGGGCTCCCAAACCCCTGCTTCCTACATGCACACACATGCTGCTCAAGTGTCTTGTTGCTGAGTGGTGAACCCTCTCGACTCCACGCTGCAGAAATTTTTGTTTTCCTCTTTCCTTGGTGTCAAATCACTTCTTCCCCTACTTCCTAAAGAAAAGACCCAACATGTCTAGCCTTTACTTCACCATTTACTTGACCTCTCCTCAGTGAATGTCTATGCTCTCTCCACAGATGACTATAGGGCCTGGCCGAGCAACTTCAGGGATTACTTGTGGGATCTCATCAAGAGCTCTATACCTCCAGCAGCCATTTTTGCTTTTCTTATCTCCACAGCACTAATGGGGACCCTCTGCTGCCTCACGTAAGCTTCTGTGGTAATTTAGGAAGGGAGGAGAGAGGAAACATGAAGGAGGCACAGAAAAACTCAGGCTCCTCATTGGTCTGCACATCTGTAATTAAGGCAAAGTTTTAAGGAAGGCAATTCTGGGAGCAAAACTCTGAAAGGCCATACAACCCACTTTTAAAACTTCTCTGCTTTCTCTTTTTTTCCTTCCAACTTGCCCCACCCATTACCAATGACTGACAGGTAACATTTAATAACCAGTATTTAGAACTGATCATTTCTTTTTTTTTTTCTTTTTTTCTTTTTTTTAGACAGAGTCTCACTCTTTTGTCCAGGCTAGAGTGAGTGCCATGGCGTCAGCCTAGCTCACAGCAACCTCAAACTCCTGGGCTCAAGCAATCCTTCTGCCTCAGCCTCCCAAGTAGCTGGGACTACAGGCATGCGCCACCATGCCCGGCTAATTTTTTTTATATATTTTTAGTTGTCCAATTAATTTATTTCTATTTTTAGTAGAGATGGGGTCTCGCTCTTGCTCAGGCTGGTTTCGAACTCCTGAGCTCAAACAATCCGCCCACCTCGGCCTCCCAGAGTGCTAGGATTACAGGCGTGAGCCACCGCGCCCGGCCTGATCATTTCTTTTTATTAAGTTCATTAACTCCTAATTTTCCTTCCCTTTGGCTCAGGAACTATACTTGGAAAATATATAATTAACTGTGTTCTCAATTGCCTGAAAATTTACCAAAATATTTATCTACATAAATCATATGAAGCCAAAGAGATTCCTAAGGAAAACAAAATAGTTAAACTAAATTTCATTATTTCAATTGGCATTTACCAAAAAGTGACTATTTGCCTGTTTCTGTCCTGATTGCTAAAGGACAGAGAAATAAGACAATTAAAATATTACAAATTAGTAAGTCAGTGCTGTGATGGAAAACGGAGTCCAAATGGGGGGGACCTATGAAAGTGATCAACAAAGGTATTGAAAGAGGTGAGGTCAGGAAATAGTTGGCCAGTTTGCAAGAAGAAATAAAAAGGAATAGAGAGTAGAAATGTGGGATCCTATAGGGTTCAAAAAGCCAAACTTCGTCCAAATTCCCAGTGTGTGATGGGACTATCCAAACCTTACATGTAATAAAGTGGCAGATTAAGGATGTGGCATTGCCGATGGCTCCTGATAACCTCAAAATGATCACAGAATCAAGACCTGTGTCTAGGAAACAACCTTGGGCACATAGAACTGGTTGGTGGCAAATAGAGGAAAAGTCAGCTAAGCTTTTGAGAGAAGCTTATTGCCAAAGACATCGGAAGCCAGAACTGAATGAGCCATCAGTTGTAAACAGTATTTGAGCCTCTGACCTTGCAAGAGAAGGCACCAGTTTTGAAGGCCCCTAGGATCAGAAAAGCCTCCCAGAAGATAAACAACAGGCCAGGGAGCTCCCATTAGAAAGCAGGATCTGGGACTAATCAACATCTGCCAGCAGGATTCCGGGATTACTGCAGAACAGTGACTGCAGTGTGTTTCCCAGTCATCCTGTTTCCAAGTGAGAATGTTTATGGTGGTTATCCTCTTCCTGCTCCATCATTGTTACGGAGTGCGGAGATCAAGGGCAGATAACCTGGTTTAGTTCATAGGTCACTTAACCAAGCAGAGCCACACCCAGACTTCAGAGAACCAAGCATCACCTAGATACCCTGGACTTTGAGCTGGACACAGTGATGAGTGGGATTTTCATCCTTAGCAAAGGGTTTGCCACAGGTCAGGTGTTCTGGAAGCAGACAGGGAGACAGGTGTTTAGTGTTCAAAGTATTATTAGGGATCAACACCTGTGGAAGGTAAGGGACAGGAGAAGTAATACTGCCTTGCAAGCCCAACAAAGCCTCAGTTGACCCCATCAGAGTTGTCCTACATTAGCCTAAAATGGCTGGACCTCTATAACTCCACCTCAATTATTGGATGTGGGCCGCCCCAGGAGGTATGAAGCAGCTGTCTGCAGCTGAGGCCAACTCCGAAAGAGCTAACAGCTAGAGGCTGTCTGCTGACAACATTTTCAGCAGCTAGGGAAACAAGGCCTTTCTCAAGGGGGAAATTGGGTAGCTGTCTTCCATGTATGAAAGGAAAAGTGAAACAGATATTGGGTGATCAGAAAGAGAGACTGTGATAGAGACTGGTTATATGTTCATCAATCCTGTTGCTTTTTTCCAAGTATAGAATAAGATTACATTTCCCAACCTTCCTTGAAGTTAGGCTGGGACCATGGAACTTATATTTGGCCAATGAAATACGGGCAAAAGTAATGTATGACATTTCCAAGCCTAGCCATAAAATGTCCTGCACAATTGTCCATGCTGTATCTCTCTCTCTCTCTCTCTCTCTCTCTCTCTCTCTCTCTCTCTCTCTCATATATGCATGGCTTAAAGTGATGGAACCACATGATGGAAGGAACTGAGATCCCTGAATCATCTCATTGAGGAGAACTTGACCTACATCAGAATGAGGCACGAGTGAGGGATAAACTTTTATTGTGTTAAGCTACTAAGGTCTCAGGATTTTTTGTTACAGCAGCTGAGTGTTACCCTAACTAATATACTTAGTAGCCAACTAAGAAAGCCAGGAGTCAAATCCAGACATGTCTGATTCTACAACTTTTAAGTCATTATTACTCAAACTCTGGCCAACAGGCCAGCTGCGTCAGAAGTATTGGTTAAATATGCACATTCAGGCGGGGCGCGGTGGCTCACGCCTGTAATCCTAGCACTCTGGGAGGCTGAGGCGGGCGGATTGTTTGAGCTCAGGAGTTCGAAACCAGCCTGAGCAACAGCGAGACCCCATCTCTACTAAAAATAGAAAGAAATTAATTGGACAACTAAAAATATATAGAAAAAACTAGCCGGGCATGGTGGCGCATGCCTGTAGTCCCAGCTACTCGGGAGGCTGAGGCAGTAGTATCGCTTGAGCTCAGGAGTTTGAGGTTGCTGTGAGCTAGGCTGACGCCATGGCACTCTAGCCCAGGCAACACAGTGAGACTGTCTCAAAAAAAAAAAAATGCACATTCAGAGGGACTTCTGTGAAGATAAAGCACATAATTTGCCAAGAGAAATTAATTCCTTCTTTTAAGTAGATGGCTTAACCTGAGGAGAGAAACCAATATGCCCTTGCTGGGAACAAGCATCCTAACTAGTGAAAGAAACATCTCTGGACCCAATTGGGCACCAATAGAAGCCTAAGAGATAGATTTGAATGAATAAACATACAGGCAAGCCGTATTTTCAAGAAGCAATCTGTTGGTGAAGCAAGAAGGTAAAGTGTGAAATTTCATTATGCTCAGACCTATAGCTGCAACTTTCAATTGGCTGGGAAGAAGTAAAGGCTTATAAGAACTCACTAATAATACAGACATCTCAGCATCATGAAGAGAATTTATTATCCTCAGATACAGCACTGGTCCCTCCCCATGCAAATTTCCTGTAAATAACTGGTCCAGTAAGAGTTGATCTCATTCAACAGGAACCAGTACTAGATCTATACAAACTTACTATATGGAAAAGATAAGAAATGTATAAGCAAAAAATGGCAGATGAGGAATAGTCACCAGAAAAAAAAGTCTCAGAACATATAAAAATTGTGCACTAATGTATTATCATAAATTAAAAAAACTTGATATAAAAATCACATCTTTTCCTTCATTGGAAGAACGTGGAAAAAAATCATATTTCTACTTGATGTCTTGGACTATAGAAAAAAATCACATCTATAAAATAATAGTTTTAAGTAGAAATATTAACATAAGAGGGCAGGTATGAAACAGCAAAGCAAAAGAAAATGAAAATTAGACAGAAAAATCTAAGAAAAATATGAAATACAAAAAGTAAAACTATCGCAGAAATGAAAAAGCACAACAGAAAAGAGACATTGATGAAAAAATATGAAAGAAAATATGAAAAACAAGATTTAAAAAGCAAGCATTATTAAATAAAGAGTTTAGTGAAAGTAAGATTAATTAGAGAAAAAATGATAGATGCAGGAGGCACATAATGATTTCTTTGATGAAGAGAGTCAAGATAATCCAAGAAAGTTATAATTTTTAAAATGCTGCAGAAATAAAGGAAGATTTGAGTCTATAGTCATAAAGGGCACATCAAGTCCCAGGAAAAATTGTCAGTTGGTGCTGGGCACATAGTAATACCCATTGGTTTTTAATTAATACATTTCACAGCGAGGACTGCAAACAGCCTCTCTCTGACTCCTTTTTACCCTCTATACTCACCTATATGCCACTAGCTGCTCATTGCCTGAGGAAACTAACATGTAAGCCTGGTTAATCTCCCATCCTTCTGGAAACAGAGGTAACAGTCAGGAGGACTGACTGGCACTGACAAGATATATGTGCAAGGAATGTTTAGTATGGTTTACAATAGAGAAAAAATGGGAACAACTTAAATGTCCGTCAACCCGGGGCTGAGTGCTAGATAGTTACCCAAACCTTGATGTAGAAGAATAATGTTGTGGAAACATATTAATGAAATACTGTTCACTGGAAAAAGCAGATTATAACAGAAAATATATAGTTTAATCCAATTTTTTTATACAGAGAAAAAGCCTCTAAAGTCCTAAGCAAAGTATTAGACATTGGTTATCTCCTTGTGCTAGAGAATGGGTTGTTTTGATTATTGTCATTGTCATTATTGCTTTTTATTTTCATTTTTTTTTTCTGAGACAGAGTCTCACTGTGTTGCCCCGGCTAGAGTGAGTGCCGTGGCGTCAGCCTAGCTCACAGCAACCTC